TTGTGTTATTTATTGTTTGGTTTAAAATGTAGCTTATTGAGATTATGTATTTTTTGTTTGCCTCTACTGTAGAATTTGGTGCTTCTTTGACTTTTTAAATGAAAATATATCAATGTGTACATGGACAAACTAAAGGGAGTGCGTAAAGCATAGTTTGTGCAATTCGAGGATTTTTTTTTTAAGTGAAAATAAGTCGATGTGTACATGGATAAAGTCAAGGGAGTGCACAATGCCATTTTTGTGCAATTCGGAGATTTTTTTTAAGTGAAAATAGGCAATGTGCACATGGATACCAAGTTTGTGCAATTCTTTGACTTGTTGTTTTGGCTTCCATAGCAGCAAATTTTAGTGCCAAAACTGCCGCTACATAGGCCAAAATAACAAGTCAAAGCATTGCATAAACTCGGTATCCATGTACCGCCAAAAATCGCCAAGGGGTACCCTAAAATATACTTTTACCAATGTTCTAGAATAGGTACAGCTAGAGTGCCAAGCAAACTGTGGCCACAAATGTCAATTGCTCACAAAAATGAAATTAAAACTGCCTTGACAGACAAGTTTTTTAAATATTACGAAGTCAATATATTACACAACCAAAAATCTTCCTCTTCAATATGATCTATGGTCTATCCTATATAGCTATTACGCATCGATGCTGCTCCATCTTTTCATTGCTATTATTACATATATGTGTATACATATTAAAAAAATCGGAACGAAAAGGATTAAAATTTGAAAGTCTAACACAATTTCTCCAGGTTACATTATAAACTGTACACTTCAAGGAGAAAAATCTAAAATACTGGAAATTAGTACATAAATCAAAAATAATAAAAGTTTAATATTCTCTGTTTAACGCTTCAAATAGAACTTGTCAAGGGAAAAGTGTTTTGAAGCCTTAAACCAAGTTCAACAATATGAGTGTCAAATACAGGTTTCGTTCCTCTGAACCATTTGAGACTCCAAAGCACTTTTTATTTAATAAATGTTAACCAAAACACTTCAAACAAGCAATACCCCAATTCAAAAAAAAGCAATGAAATTTAAAGAAAAGAGAACATAATAGAAGAGGAATTCAATCAACTTCAATGCTACTTTGTCAGGGGAAGGAACACTGAAATAATTGAAATCTCTCTTTCACAAAAATGCTTGCTTTTCTGTTCCAGAAATAGCCAATGAGCCATTTTAACGTATTTTAAGGCTGATCTTTAGAATATGGTAACTGGTAGTTTGGCGACATTTTGGAGGCGATAAAGGTTACTACCTGGGACTTTGGTAATAATGTGAGCAGTACTCAGTTCCGATTACGCATTATTTTGTGTGAGGGAAATGAGAGATCATGGGATACGTCATGTGATATTAATGGACGAATTACGGTTCTTTAATCGGAAAAGGGGGGACATCGGGAAAAAATCTGGAAATTTTGTATTTGGCTTTATTCCTGTGTTGTGTGAAACAGTGTTCGTTAATTTTTGGATCCCATGGCCCTAACTAAAGTGAATTCGAAATGGGTATTTAGTGGGATTGAAAGGGGTAGTAATAAGTGTTTCTTTAACCCTTTAACTGCCGCGGGCGTATATATACGCCTTGCTCAGCCGATGCGTTAACTGCCCCAGATGAAAATGCCCCAGATGCGCCCAGATGCCAAAAAAAAACGCCCCAGATGCGCAGCCGATGCGTTAACTTTGCGAATAATTTTAGGTGTAGCAGCGCAAAGCAAATGATAGCAGTTTGGAAGGACGTATATATACGCCTGGGGCAGTTAACGCATCGGCTGAGCAAGGTGTATATATACGCCCGCGGCAGTTAAGGGGTTAAGGTTGTGAGAGATAGAAGTAAAGATGTTTTATTAAGTTATTTATTTTACCTGGTACCTTGGTGTGAACTATAAGTATGATTTTAAAGATCCTGAAACAGAAATAAGAAAAGTTTATCGGACACGTAATCAAGATTCTGAAGAAGAATAGGTAAGTTAGTATTTTTAATTATTTGAGGATATTATTTTTATGCATTGTTCTAAATGTAAGGTGGAAGTAAAGTAATTTGCGTAAACGTGCATGGAAATAATTTAAATATTTGACACTAAGTATTTGTAATGCTTGCGGTATGAATTCGTTGGTGACGTGTATAATATAATAGATGATTTAGAGGTAAAAGTTTTTGGATATTTTATTTATTTTATACGGGGAAATGTTCATATTTGGAAAGGATATAAACTTTTTCGCGATCAGGTAATTTCATATATGTTCTTTTTACCGGGTTTAAAGATTCAGAAAATTGTCATGTATTTTCGTGAAATTTTTCTAATTTATGAGAAAAAAGCAGTGTACATGGATATAGTGAAGAGTGTGCGCAATGCCATTTTTGTGTAATTCTGGGATGTTTTTTTAAGTAAAAATAAGTCGGCATGTACATGGTTTATGTGTATGTGTTATTTTGAAAAACGCGTAAGGAGTATGGTATTGTGCACTTTTTCCCAATTTTGCAGTGAATATTTGTCATGATTAAGCAGTTTTGTTAGATAAAATTTCTAGCATAAATGTAATTCGGCTAGTAGATTGTTGGAAGAAGTGTTCAGTAGATAAAAAGAAAAGAAACATGTCTTTCGGGGAAAAAAAAATAGAGGGTTACTGTAGGAGAGTTGGTCGCCAAATTTTCGCCAAGAAAACGCCAAGTTACCATAATGTAAATATCAACCTATTTTAATTATAATACTTCTTAAAAAGATTGTTTTGTAATTATATTACGTAGATAAAAAACATGTAAATCAAAATTAACCCTGTAATTCTCACTCTCTATTCTAAAAATCTTATTTTGGCTAATCATTGGAATATGGTAACAGGCAGTTTGGCGACATTTTGGTAAGGCGATAAAGGTTACTAGCTAGGACTTTAGCAATAATCTGAGAAGTACACAGTTCGAATCACAAATTATTTTGTGTCAGAGAAATGAGAGATCGTGAGACACGTAATGTGACATTTTCCGGAAAATTCCGATCGTGATTTTAGCTAATAAGCACTTAGAAACAATTTCGCTGCTAAAGTACAGAATCGCGCACTTATTTGTTTGGTGCTTTTTACAAGAGTAAAAAGAATTAGATTTTTGTCACGTTCTTTGACTTTTTAAGTGAAAATAGGTCGATGTGTACATGGATAAAGTCAAGAGTGTGCGCAATGCCATTTTTGTGCAATTCTGAGGTGTTTTTTTAAGTGAAAATAGGTCAGTGTGTACATCGATAACTCGTATGTGCAATTCTTAAAAACGCGGCAAGCAGTGGGCGATTCTGCACTTTCTCCCAATTTCGCAACTAATCTTCATCATGATTAAGCACTTTTGTTCCATAAAAGTTCTAGTATAAGCGTAATTTGGCTAGCAGATTGTTGGAAAAAATGCTGAGTAAAAAAAAAAAAAAAATGCCTTTACTTCGTGAAAACAAAATGGCATCTGAAAAAAAAACTAGCAAGTTGCTGTAGCAGCGATGGTCGCCGAGTTTTCGCAAAAAATTGCCAAGTTACCATAATACAAAGATTAACCCGTATTTTTTCTGGACTGTGTCATGTCTAGGTGAATCCATCTTGCATGGCTTGCATAAAACTGATGACATAGCTAACTCGGAATTTGAACTCAAAATTTTGACAACTGAAACTTTTTTAATCTAAACAAAACCTTCTCTTGATGAGCATCCACACTGGATAGTGAGTGTACTTTTTAGCTTCTGCTCTCCTGCAGTCAAGATGCTACTTTGCTCTGACATGCCACTAACTATGTGTCATGCATTATCTAAAATGTTATACTCTATATAAAATTGTGGAGTGTGTTTTGTGCCCATGAGCATATATGATGAAAAATATGTTTTTAATAATTAGTTCCTATCCATGAATAAAAGTGATATTCAATTCGGCCATATCTGTCTACAAGTCTTTCCTTCAAGTGTCATCTTTCTGACTATACAATAAAGTCTTCCAAGGACATAGAGATCCATCCTCAGTCTGTTGCAGCTTACTCTAAGTCATCATATTATATACATATTTCATTTCTTTCTTTTAATTAATGGAATTTATTTACGAATATGCTATAAATATAAAAGCTAAATATTTAAGTCAAATTTATCATTAAAAAAACTTATAACCTGTTTTAATGATAAATTTGACACCTTCTATTTTAAAATGTAGCTCACTTATTTTATACTATCAGCATTAGATAGTGTGGGTTAAATAAATTTATTTATTTTTTACGACCATTGCTTTAAAAAAAAAAAAAAAATCCAATTTATGTTAACTAACTTTGAGATCATACGGCATAACCTTATTCTACAGTAAGGGCAAACAACTGGTATATAACGTAAGCAATAAAGCAGATGCATAATGAACATTTTACACAAATAATTACAGCATAAAAATATATAATGTTTAGTACTTATGCACAATTGGGATTTTCTTCACTTATGCAATAGAATAATCGCAATTTTTCACTTTGGTTGTGTTTTGTAGAAGAAGGATGACACATATTTTTAAAAAAAATATTACATACATATATATGTTATGCTTTAATTAGTTATGCAGAAAAACAATCAATAAACCTTCTATCAAATAAGCTTGTTTCTTTTATCTCAGCAGCTATTTCAATGCAATCACTTTTAGAACACATTCAAATCAATTGTTCCCTTTAGCAATTTTGCATAAAAATACAGTATTCCTGCAGAAATTTTATCACAATTTCTTCCAGTCCCAGCAAATTCCAGAAGTTTATATTTTAAAATTGCATTTAAGTTAAAAAAGAATATCATGATGTATCTATAAAAACAGCTAGAATACAATAAAAAAAACACACAAAAATGTTATTAAAAAAACAGAATTGTTATGTGCATGGCTGCCACAGTTTAGCACATTTGGCTTTTTTACTGAAGTGGTTACTCAAATCAATCAGACGATAAAAATTAAAAATTTTGTTGTCTCGTACACTAGAACAATGAGAAATGAATATATAATTCTAAAAAATACCATTCGTAAAAACTCATCAAAGGTGAGTTGGCCATCACTGTTAATGTCAGCCCATTCAAGTATCTCATCAATCACATCATCCGGAAAATCATGTCTGAGGTCGCCGCCTGATTTTAAAGCAGCTTTCAGATGACACAGTGGGATTTTTCCATCTTTATCTACATCATGCTAAAAATATATTATTAATAATAAAATAAACATACATTTGAAATAGATTTACAAGTCCACATGCTTCAATTACACATGAGATTATCATAATAATATTTATATAAGTTATATAAGAGGTAAAAAAATATTTCAAACGAGACTGAGTTGTTTAAATACAGAAAAGTGCACTATAACCATGATTATTTAGTAATGAGAAAGCTTGGGTATATATAAGAAAAGATATCTCTGTGGAAGAATTTTTCCGAGATACTAATTCATATTTAAGTAAATTAAATTCTACATTGAGAAAAGTAAGAAACCTCATGCAGCCAATCTATTTAGTTGCTGAAAATAGACCTTAAGAAAAATTACAAATAATCAGCAGCTTTGACCACTCAGCTAGGGGTGGATTTATTTCAGAATGCTACATCTTGATTGGTTTATTTTGATTATGGCAAAGCACTTGAAGGCTATCTGCCTAAAGAGAAGGGTGCCTTCGTGGATGACTTTTTAAGGCAAACTGGCTTGTATCCACATTACACATGGGAAATCCATGAAAACACCTATGCAGCCAGCCCATTTGCCTGGAATCAAACCCAGGTTGAACCAGGTTCCAGATTTGCTGGAAACAAAAATGCATGTGCTCAGATGATTAGATACAGGTGAATGGCAGTCTGATATTCACACAGCATTAAATTAATTTACTTCAACAATATGCTCTATTCTAAAAAAATTACACAAAAAATAAGCAACTACAGCCACTACAACTTCTGCAATAAAAATTACCCATCCCAAAGCAATGTGATGAGGAAATGGAAAAACATCTTTCCACCTGGATTGATGGTGAAATTGAAAGCACACTTTACTATTTTCTCGTAAAACATTTTTATTATTTTAGATATATTCCGGTGTTTTATTTCTAAATATCAAAATATGCTTTTCATTAGATTGAAAAATCTCTCATGCTGAAATAGTTAGAAATTTTTTGCAGATGAAAACGTAAAAGTTATGTATTGGATGCAAGCTGGTGGTTTTCATGACTTTTTTTTAAATGATTCTTAAATTATAAACATTTAAAAATAAAACAAATAAAGCCGTCTCTAAATCTTTCTGTAATTCTTCCGAAGAACACAGCAATCTGTTTTCACTCAAAAAATCAGAGCATTGCACAAACCTCAGCAATACCAGTTATTTACCAAATGCACATCTTTGTTGTTCTCTTTTGAAATTTTGTGGGAAAATTCTGTATTCCTGCAGAAATTTTTATGCATGTTCTTCTATTGCTGGCAAAATCCACAACCATATATTTTAAAATTGAGTTTAAGGCCAAAAAAAAATACAGTACAAAGTCCGTAATCCGGACTCGTCGGGACTTTGGCGATTCCAGATTATAGATCACCAATTTAAATCTGGTAAGATGGCATGCAGAAATTATGCAATTAAAAATATAAAACCATAATTTATGAAATAAAGAGCAATTATGATCTAAAGGATATCAAAATTTACAAAAAGAAAAGCTTAATATTTATTTGTTTACTTTATTATAAACATTTCTTTCAATGTAAATTGTTAAAGTCGCTTTGTTTTTTGTGCTAAGTGCGCATGCTTAAACATTAAACACGCATGCGTAAACACATTACATGCATGCGTAAAGCATACAAAAAAAAAAGTTTGTGGCTTTGAGGTCCGGATTATAGACTTTGTATTGTATCATGATTTGTTTATAAAAACTGCTGGAACATGAAATAAAAGAAAACAAAGGTGTATGAAAATGGTGATGCTGTTTGACTGTAGAACTGTTATGAGCATGGTTGCCAGAGTTGGGCACGTTCAAATACCTTAAATGAGTCCACGAATCTATGCATCGACATTATGAAGCATACATTGCAGTAGATGGAAGGAATTTTGGTTAATCTTTGGATTATGGTAACTTGGCGATTTTTTGGCGACCAACCCTGCTAGAGCAACCTGCTAGTTTTTGTTTGGATGCCATTTTTTTTCACTTTTTTTTTTTACTCAACATTTTTTTCCAACAATCTGCTAGCCGAATTACACTTATGCTAGAACTTTTATGGAATAAAAGTGCTTAATCATGACGATGATTAGGTGCAAAATTGGGAGAAAGTGCAGAATCGCAAACTGCTCGCCGCGTTTTTAAGAATTGCACATACACGGTATCCATGTACACGTCAACCTATTTTCACTTAAAAAAAATATCCCAGAATTGCACAAAAAATGGCATTGCGCACACTCGACTTTATCCATGTACACTGCTAAAGTCCTAGCTAGTAACCTTTATCGCCTTACCAAAATGTCGCCAAACTACCTGTTACCATATTCCAAAGATTGGCCAGAATTTTGAACATTTTTCGTACCCATGGCTATTTCCTTCATCTGAATCACAAAGTTTTGTTTCTTAATAAAGTTGTTAATGACATTATCAGCTCCCTTTCTTTGCATGTTGATCACTGCTGTAACATTGCTGATTTTTTTACTCATCTTCCTATGTAAAACGTGTTCATCATGGGTTGACAGACCAGTACATAAAGTTAGCAAACAACCTTTTAAGACACCTTGTATATCTAATCAAAAATTAGCAATTATATTACTATAAATCAATGCATTAGAGTGCCGAAAATGTCTAAAAGATGTAACATTGCATGAATGCTGTAAGAATAAAATATAGTAGCTTTGTATATGAGAAATATTGCTACATCAAATCTGAAATTCCCTTATACAGATACACTGATATTCCATAAACAAGGAAGTCTGTTTTTATTAAAAGATATGAAAATATGAGCATATTTCCAAATTGATTCATATTTAAAAATTAAAATGCCTGCAAATCAACCTGCAGAATAACCAGGCATCATACTGAGCTTTCCAAGTCTTAACTGAACTCACTTTGATATCAAATTTTATGAATAGATTTTATTAAAATAAAATAATTATTTAGAAAAATTGGGGAAGTGCAGGATCACCCACTGCTAGAACGTTTTTAAGAATTGCACATACTCGGTATACATGTACACATTGACTTATTTTCACTTAAAAAAAATCCCAGAATTGCAGAAAAATGGCATTGCATACTCCCTTTATCCATGTACACATCGACCTATTTTCACTTAAAAAGTCAAAGAAAATTGACAAAAATCTAATTTTTTCTTACTCTTGTAAAAAGCGTCAAACAAATATGTGGACTATTCTGCACTTTACCCGAAAAATTATTACAAAAATGGAGAGAAAATTATTACCTTAACACTGTATATATGCAGTAATGTAAGCAACACTTTTTTATTTAAATTAAATAATTTGCAATATATAGTTTATATGCATTTCATATAAGCACAATTTAAGCTATATCAAAAAAAATGTCGGTTACAATATTAGTAAATGGTTTAAAGATGCAATTTTGAGTTTTAGAACAGTTTATACAATATACTGAAATGAAAGATAAGTTTATTCTTAAATTAGTAAAAATGATTAACGAATTCATGGAATATCAAAACTTACCTTATCAAAAACTGGTTTCCATTGCTGTAATATGAAACGAGAAAAGCCAAATTAATACCATTCATTACAGATTCATTTTTAAATGCAGTAAAATAATGAACACGATCAACTCACCAGTTCCATATCTATTGGGTCCCAGTCTTTACTGACAGATCGATGAGGTGGTGAAACTTTTATTTCCCCTCGCATTTTGACTAAAGTTTCAGTAATAAGGTATAGTTTCGAATAACCAATTTCCCTGCTTTTGTATTTTCAGAGTATTAGCTGATAAAAGGCATATCTGTAAATAAATGTATTAAATAAACAATCAGGTAATCATGACTCAAATTTAGACAGACAGACAAAGCAGGTGACAGGCTTGTTTTGCATTGTCGTAAGTCTTTTTGCCTCATGACTAAAGTCAGATTAAAAAAAAACATGAGTAAAGAAAGGTTTCAGACTATATTAAAAGTCTGGGAGAGGCATAGAAGATGTAAAAAAAGTGCATGTTACTTCACTCTCAGTTTTCTTCATTGTGCAATTAATTTTATAATGTTCTAGCGCTTTATTTAACAGCCATTAGCCTTGCGGCACTACAAGGGCCGGAAGTAGTGGCCATTTCGTTATGGATGAGAGCATCTAATAGGTAGCCACCCAGTAGCGGCTCCTTTATTTGTGCACATGGAGCACGTGAACCCCAAAAGAAAGACAAAAAAATTAATTTATTAACATATTAAATAAAATATATTAAATGCACTTGCAGATTTTTACCCATTTCCAGTATGAGTACCCCCCTCCCTTTTTAAATACGCAGTGGCTAATCGCACCTTCTACGTTAGCGAATGCGCACAATTAGCCCAGGTACAAGCATTTTACGCCAATTTACCGCGATAAGACAGGAGGTAGCGGGAGCGAGGGTTGCTAACAGTTTCTGCTTATCTTCCTTGTATGCGATTTCTATGTTAATTAATTTATAGTTATTATTACTGAAATTTATGTGTTATTTGTTTGATATAACTTGAGGACGATGGATGTGACAAAAACAAATTTCTTGCCTTTTGAGTGTGGAAACAAGTTTTCCACATATTCTAAATTTGAAAGGACAAAAAAACTGCATGAAAATCAAAATTTTGCTGTTTTGATTAAAACGAGATCGCAAAATTTCACGAGAGTCATAAACATTGTGAAACGGTATTGTGCAAATATGTTACCTTTGAATGTAAGAAAGGACATATTCATAAACAGTCATCATAAAAAGTTATATTCGTATTTATAAAGAGTCAAATTCTTTTATTTAACATAGGAACTTTTATGCAAACTTAAACCCTAGTCTTACAGCATAGAAGTGCGAGAATTTATTATTCAATGATAAAACTTATTGAAAATTAATGGTGTTCTTATATATGTCTCACTCTTTCAGGGTCCACGCATGTTTATAAGTTCAAATGCCATATTTCAAAACAAAGTTATACATGAAATAAAACCTTCTAAAATGTGATAACTCATTTGCGTGTGCAAACTTGTCAATATAAATCTCTTACATTAAATTATTGTCTTTTAAATTATATCCCATTATTTATTAAAATTTAATTTATTAATGTGTTTACACTATTATTTTAAAGTCCTTTGGAAATATCTTTTGTGTTCTGAAAAATGAAGACTTTTTCCATAGAAAAATTAAACAGCCATACAAAATTGTTAATAACCAGTATTATATGATTAATTGTTAATTTAATAGTTTATTTTATTCCTTTTAACTTATTTCATGTCTAAATTTTCTACGCAGACATACTCTGTCTAATTTTTACTATCTTTTAAAAGACGAAAAATTTCAAAGAGAAATGAACAAAAATCTTGATTGTGCAAAACACACATTTGAATCTAAATGTATTCTAAGAAGTACAAAAAAATTTAAACGATGTTCTAGTCCCCCCTTCCCCAAAATCAGTCATTTAAACTATTCCAACCGTTTAGGAGAACAAACGGCTGCTGGAATAGTTTATGCGAACAACATAAAAATATGCCCCTTTTTATATATATGCATAAATAAAAGAAATGTGTTCCTTTTATATATTATATATATATATATAAGGAACACATTTCTTTTATTTATGTATCTTATATATCTCTTATTTCTTATATATATATAATTTATCAAGCAAAGCAGTAAAACAATTTTTGAAAAACCAATTTTGGTCAAGAAAACATCTTGCGCAATATGCTGCAAAATAAGTAAAAAATAAAAATTGTAGAAAGCTCGCCTAAAAGTTACCAAGAGCTGCTGCTCCAAAAGGTTTAAGACGTTTTCAAAAATTAATACACATGAAAAGCAAATCATTTGACATGTAAAACATAAATACAATAAAATTAAAAAAACAGAAAAAGTTAAAAAGTAAGCGGAGGGGAAAATGGTAAATTAGCCCAATTCGACATCCAAACAGGCTTTTCAAGGGAAATTTCATTTATTTGAACGTCGAATCAAGCTAACCCCATTACGCGTTTCGCCGACGAAACAGACAATTGAAAACTTTTTCGCTAAAAATTTTTTTGACAAAGTGTCTTGGAAATTTGAATAGTCTCAATTTCTGTTCCAATTTCCCGACGCGTCCGCTCAGAATGACACATTAAGGTGTTAAAATATGTTAATCAAAATCAAAAACTTTCTAAATCTAGTCTAAAATTAAAATCAAAACGAAAATAAATAGCGATGAGCTATTAGTCCTAAAAATACAAATACATTCGGGCTGGGCCTGCAAGCTTAAAGATTAACAATTTTATTTAAAAAAAATAGATTTTATAAAACTGTAAGAAAACCTGTAGTTAATAATCAATATAAAATAAAAAATTGAGAAAAGAACAAACTCAGTGGGTCTTGCTAAGACCAAGAAAAAGTTGTAACATATATATATATAAGGAAAGGAACACATTTCCCTTTCTAATCTTTTGAAAGTCGCTAACGCTTAAAAAATGATAAACTACGTCAAAGTAGTAACCTGCCTGTAAAAAAAAAGAGAGAGAGAGAGACTCACTACAACAGATTTGGTAGCTCGAGTAATTAGGATTCCTTCTTTTCGATTCGGTTCAAATGACGGATCGGACAACTCAAAGCTCATGCGTGGTTAATGTTGGTGCGAATAGCTGAAGCGGCTAATCGCACCGCTGGTGCCAATAGCATCGGCCTTTTAAATACACTAACACATAACTATAGCACAGAGCGTTGAGTTTTCCCTCGATCACACATGCGACTGAAGAAATGCCCCTGAAAACCAATTTATAGAGATAGAAGCGTACAGGGGAGCGGGAGGGGAAAGAAGATACCATTCCATTCCATTTGCCCATCTTCGGTGTCCCCAAGTTCGCATTATTTGCAGTTATCTCGTCCGAATTATCCCTTGGTTTGCTACGCTTACGAACGTGAGTTAATACTTGGTCCCTTTTCTTTTTCTTTCTATATTTTATTCTTATTTTTCGATTCATATTTTTTGCGAACTAGTGTAAACAGTTAAGATGCCACTTAGTAAAATCAGTATGTCGAAACTAAATTACATTTTCAGCACTTTTTTTGGAAAGAAAAATTGAAATTGCTCAAGCCAACACCTTCTGACGAAATATAAGAAGGGAATTCAGACCCGATTTTTGTGAGAAATGTTCGAGGATTATTATATGTGTTAATCATCTAACAAGCTCTTTTGTTTTCCATATCTCCGGCTTGCAAAACAGAATGGTGATTTAAGTTGAGTAAAATCTATGATGCTAATTTATCACATAGAATAAAAAAGTATGAATGCTCACAATCACATTTAAACTTCACCTTAGAATTTAATTTGCTACGAAAGGTGCATAATATTTACCAACAACACTACAGTGCATTTAGTTCAAATGTTAAAAGACACAATAAGAAGGCTATAAAAATCGTTATGTTCTAAAAAAATACGTCGATTGCATTTTGTTTTGTGATGTGAGGACAGATCTAAGCATTGTAGCATGCTCTCAACTGAAAAAAAGCAGCATAAATGACTTAGCTAAATTCAATGAAAACCTATTGATTTATTTGCCTTAAAAAATCTAGCAAGATGCTGATCTAGCAAGTTGTAACCGCTCTTCACTTTCGACTTCCAAACGAAGAAATTCTAATAAATTTCCTAACATGTTCTTCTTGTCTTTATTTTCTACACGGTTATGTGTGCGTTCCCACTCCTTGATAAGAACTTCTGGTAGAGCTGATTTTACTAAAGGATATAACATTGTTTCATATTTTTAGACGTTACCCCTAAAGTCTCTAATGTTCGCAGCTGAGTCTCCAACTTATCATAAAGGACTCGCAAAGTAAAATTTTCGTCCCTTTTAGCTTGTGTTAAAACTGGATTTAAAAATTCACGAGTATAAATTTGAATTAATAGTTCATCTTTAGCAAAACCAGATTTCAGTTGTTCAATGACATTATAATAAATTTCGCCAAATGGTGGAAAATGGTTTTTATTAGTAAATGAAACTAAGCGAAATTTCCACTGGAAATATCGCCCTTTCTTTCAGTGGTTGATAACATTAAATCAACTTTCGTTTTCATAGTAACCCACTGATTTCGATAGCTTTCCGTTAAATCCATATCCTTGGAAAATTCATCTTCATTAAAATTTTCCACTCTTAGCCAAGTTACTTTAACTCTTTCATCTAACTGAAATAATCTGTCAGCGTTATCATTAAAAATATTAAATACAGATATCAAATCAATCTTACTTACTGCTTCAACTTTTATAACAGTTTCCACTTCTTTCAAAGAAGTTGTGAAATATCGCCGTAATTATGTTCTTTCCCGTTTTAAATTATCCATAGTCCTGCTGTACGGACGCCAGTATTTTAAAGGATTTGAAAATAAGTAATATTTAATTATTATGGATTTAATATGAAAAAAGACTTTAATTGCACATATTTACAAACTTTAGAAGCAGTTATTCTTACTAACCACGATAGAGCTTATTTAAAACATGAAACTTAAACAGAATTGATTTGTAGCTGGTATTACTCAAACAACGATGTTCAAAGCTTGCTTCTCATACGTAACGAGAAGCAAATGCAAGACGATACTATTTATTGTGAGATGGCGAAACTAATTTTTGCTGATTTCATTAATAAGACGCCAGGGTCATCAGTGGACGAAGAGGAAGTATTCAAGAGAAGCCTTGGGTTGTTCGAAAAATTTAAGAGAAGAACCGGCATCCACAGCTTTGTGAAGCATGGAGAAGCAACAAGTTCAGACATAAAATGCAGCCGAGAACTTCATCGGCGCGTTCAAAAAGAGGGTTACCTGCAGCAGTAGGTTTTTAATCTTGCGAGTCTCCGCTGGAAAAAAGACGCTGAAACGAATTTACATAATAGCAGAGAATATATTGACGAGCTTCAAACCAATGAAAGACCGTCTCACGCTACTGTTTTGCGCAAATGTAAGTGGCAATTTGAAAATTAAACCACTGCTTGTTTACCATTCGGGTAATCCACAAGCCTTTCAAGAAGTTTAAAGTTTGGAAAATCAGGCTAAGTATCATGTGAAGATCTAACAACAAGGCTTTAGGGATATGAGATCTTCTTATAGATTGATCCATGAAGTTTTTGGCTCGTCTGTAGAAAAATATTTGCTTGAGATGAATTTGCTACTTCGAGCCTAGCTTGCTATAGACTACCCTCCAGCACATCCTCCAGTCCTAGAAGATGACTTTCTTGAAGAATTTAAATTCATAAAAGTCCAGTTCCTGCCTCCCAACACCACTTCTTTGCTGCAGCCAATGGACCAGCAGGACATTTCAGATTTGTAAAAAACTCTACTTTAAAGCGCTTTTCTGAAGGAACCAATCTCACGCTCAAAGAAATCACTCACATCACTACTTGCCTCAAGATGACCGACAAGGTATGGGAGGGGGAGAGAAGTCTTATTTCTGGATGGAAGAAGCTTTGGTCGGAGAGCAATGTCGAAAGTTACTCCGAGGGATTTGAGCATGTGCTTGTAGTGAACGAAAACTGTGTCTCTAGCCAAGGTTATGGGGCTGTAGGGTATGTAGTTGGTATCCAAGCAGCGACATAGATGAGTTAGTGGAAGAACATAGCTTAGAATTGACCACCGAAGACTTATGTAGCTGTGTTCTGTAATATAGCAAGAAGTTGTGGATGAGATAACAGTTTCAGCAAAGTAACAACCTCAGTGAAATAAGAAAGATTCTAAAAGCATAGGAAACTATTGCATCAACTGAAGCATCACTCTAATAAGGGAGCAGATATGTGCGCTAAACGTTTTTTTAACGATAATGCTGTTTCTGATTTTCACCGAATTTTGAAGCGTAGGCAAAAGCAAATGTCTTCACACAACTTTCTTGTAAGAAAGAGTGTATTAAAAATAATAAATTCCATTATTATAAATTTGTTGAGTATTTTGTTCGAAAGGAAACTCATCCTATTTTCAATTATTTCTATGGAAAAAAATTATTTCTCTTAACGAATGTTTCGCATTACTTATATAAGATTCGAGAACAAATTAAGCATGATAAGTGAGGTTCTGATGTATTAACTTGGAATGTGATCCACACTTCACTGTATTTTCAACAGTTCTAAACAATTTCTATCGTTTTATAACGTCAAGGACAGCTGAACGCTTTACATTTAGGATTTTTTCGATGCTTAGAATACTTTTATTATTTTTAAAGTCAGTAATTAAATTTCTGATGGAACTTGTCGTTAGTCTGTAGTGCCTTGCCATGTTCGCTTCAGATATAGAAATGTGCTAAAACAAGTAAAACAGTTGCTCACGTTTGTTTTTGGACACTTGTATGTTTGAAACTTATTTGCATAAACTCTGTACAAAATATTAAAACACAGTCTTCAATTTTTCTTATATATTACTTTTTCTCCGTTTTAAGTCTTTCTCATTACAAAATAAATATCAAGCATCCTTGTAATAATTTATTCAAAACGTGTTAATCAGTAACTCGCATAATAATTCGGACACTCGAAAGTTTGCTGAAATGTTGTGGATGTTTCTTGTCAGACTTTTTTATTTTAAGTGAAACTATATAACGAGAATTATCGTCTGCGTTAGAAATTGTTACTTGCTCATCAAAATTATTAAAAGTTCCACATCTGAATTGAACATGGCAAAACGCTACAAATTAACAACAACTTCTGCTGTTGTTAATTTTTTGTTGTAATTTAATTTCCATTGTTGTAAATTAATAATTTATTATTTTAAAGATCACCAAAGTATTCAAAATACCCAAAAAAGCATTTAATTATTTTTTATGCATTAAAACTATGTAGGACTATTCAAAATGCATTGAAGTCTGGACCACAACAAAATCATAAAATTATTTAGAAACCGCATAGCTTTAGAATTTCCGAATGACAGTATCGCAGGTTGGGTATAACTTTTTTTCCCCCACTCCTACAGTGTTGCTACTGCTTGCTTAGAAATCTTTGAGTTTGTTAATCGAAAATTCGTTAAAGTTTTACAAAATAGGAAACAGATAATAAAACAAATTCGAAATTCAAAATTCAGGCTTCCAGTTATCCATATTCACGTAGAGCACTATGTTATTCAAATTTGGATGGCTTTAGGTACCGTTGTTTTTTCACAATGCCAGAAACATACACACATTAATGCAGATTCTTCCTTATTTAATTAGTTAATTATTATTTAATTATTCTTTAAATATAATACAGGGCGAATGGCAGCAATTTAAAGGGTGATATACCATTTATAGTGATTCAATGCAAAATGCCGTTTCGAGACTAATATCCATTCCGGACTAATGTCCCTTTTGGGCTAATAATGCTTACATACTTATTTTAAATGGCTATGAAATAGTTGAAAGTGTACAACAAAAGCTATCGTTGGGCCTTTTCCACGAATTTAAAAATGAACTTGTTTTTAAAACTCATTAAAAGTTTTGGGGAAACAGAACGCAATATGGCATACATGACATAAAACAAGACAAAGCAAAGCAAACGCAACATGTGTGAAACAGCCTCTATTTCAGTGTACTTTATATCATGAGCGTTAGTAAATAAATTAATAATATAGTAAAAACAATATAAAATCTGAAACGTTTCAGATTTTAAATTATGTTCAAAGGGGCCTTTTTTAACGTTTTGTGTCTTACCTTTATTTATTAAATATCAAGTTATACTTACTCAAATCATTAAATTCAGTTCAACAGCAATATCCCAAAATCATTTTAAAATGAGCATATCTTTAGAATTTCCGATACACAGTCTCGTGGACTGAAGATAAAAAGGATTTTAGTCCAAAGGGGCTTTGTCCCTGAAGAACTATTGTTTTCGTTTTGAGATTTTGCGTTGAAAACTTTATAAGGCTGTATCACCTTTTAAATCGTTGCTACCAAATACTATCGCCCTGTATTATATTTGAAGAAATTAAGTAATGAAAAATATGCATAAATGTATGTATATTTCTCGCATTGTGATAAAACAACGGTACCTAGAGCCATCGAATTTTGAATGGCGTTATCTTACTGCGAATATGGGCATGTGGCAGACCAAATTTGAAATTTGGAATTTGTTTTATGATAGACTTCATATTTTGTAAAACTTTAACGAATTTTTAATTAACAAACTCAAGGATTTGCAAGCGAGCAATAGCAACAATCTACGGGGAGGAAAAAGAAAAAAAAAAAAAAAAAAAAAAAACTTTTTAAATTTCCTGCGCGCGGAACTGTGTATCGGAGATTCTAAAGATAGGCTCATTTTAAAACTATTTTGCGATATTGCTGTTGAACTGAAATTTATGGTTTAAGTGCAAAGAACATGATATTTAATAAATAAAGGTAACACGCAAAACGTTAAAAAAACGCAATTTAAACGTATTTGGACCTAATTTAAAATCTGAACCTTTCAGTTTTTTTTTTTTTTTTTTTTTTTTTTTTAACATTTTGTCTGTTACTTTTATTTGTTTTTTTTTTTTTTTTTTTTTTTTTTTTTTTTTTTCTTTTTTTCCAGTACAGTGTTGCCATTGCTCGCTTTGAAATCGTTTAGTTTGTTAATCAAAAATTCGTGCAAGTCAGTGTTACAAAATATGAAATCGATAATAAAACAAATTTGAAATTCCGAATTTGGGCTTCCACATACCCATATTCTGTGCAAGATTACGTTATTCAAATTTTGATGGCTCTAGGTACCATTGTTTTATCATAACGCGAGAAACATACATACATTCCTGCAGATTCTTCATTATTTAATTTCTTTAAATATAATACAGGCCTCTAATATTTGGTGGCAACAATCTGAAAAGTGATTAGCCGTTTATAGTTTTCAACGCAAAATGCCAAATCGAAATTAAGGATTTAATTTAATTTTTAGTCCTTTAGAGCTAATTGCCCCTTTGGGCTAATAAATAAGAGCAAGTAATATAACGGCTAGGACCATAATATTTTGGAAGATCATATGTAGGATACTGAATTACTATAAAAACTGTTTTAATCTTCAGCCACAGAAATTTTATAAAGAATTCGACACTGATATTTCAAAGCTAAACAGGCCAGCTTAAGAATTTCCTCAAATCCATCTTTAAATTCGTGTCCTGATAGAAATTCTGTTAATCACACGTAAATTCTAAGGCATTTTAAGTTGAATTTTTGTACAATTTTAAAAATGCTTCTAATTCAATTAAAATTTCAAAGTCTAGTCTGCAACTTTGAATAAATAGGAATATAAAACAAAGCACATACCTTAACGCCAATCTTTAATGCCAGCCTTAATATCAGCCATGTAATTCGAGCCTCCAGTCTGTAAGTTCTGTGGAATCGTACAGAAAACTTCACTAATTGTGTCCTAAGCAAGGAGTAAGTTACATTAACAAAATTTTTATTTCAAATCTTGCTAAAAATCAGGAAGTGAAAGCAGGAGTTTGTGAGAAGAATGCGTCATGCATCTCTATCAGATAAGGGGCGACACAAAAAGGAAATTAAAAATGATAACGTGCTCTTGAAAGCTCATATTTCATATCTTTCTTTTTTTCCCTTCAGTTAAATTTTACTAAGTTTTATAAAAATTTGATTAAAAATAGACAAATTTTCGAATTGGGGGGATTTGGTTAGGGGAGCAGAATATTCTTTCAGGCAAAACTGACCTGCTCCGATATGGAAGGACTTTCCTACTTTCTAGCAACTTTGTCGACTTTAAAGGAACCATTACTTGAGACACTTTATTTTTTATTGAAGACTTCAAAGAAGCGTGATCTTGTTATTATACAACCCTTATGAAAATTGTTTATACAGGCTGCAGAGCTCTGTTAAATTCCCTGTAGAACTGTACAGGAAATACTCTATGGAAATGCTTCCTTATAAAAAACTTATACAAGTCTATAATTTTTATATCTCAGATTTCTACAGAAATTTTGCTTTGCCACATCATACAGAAACGTTGCTGTCTTGTCCATATTACATGGAACAATGGTTGCCACAGCGCACTCCGAACAGAGGTTGGACTTCTATTTTCCAACCCAGGTTTTAAGGAAGAGCAACCCGGGGGGGGGAATTCGGGAGTCTCCCACCCCTCTTCTCACCCACCAATCCACACGAGGAGACTTTCGTCTCGCCGCATATTTGGAGTGCCACCATACCGCACCGACACTATATATTTACAAACATCCATGTTTTACCCGGGATTCGAACCCGGGCCGTTCGATACCGTAGCAAACGGAGGAGCTTTAACGTATGAGTGGAAAAGAAAGCTCGCTTCTGAAAACTCTGTCTTTCAGGCGGAGCTCATAGCAATCAGAGCAGCTCTTCTCCACCTGAAAAAAATCCCACAGTGCCTAATATTATCTACACAGACTTAGCCTCAAGCCTCGCTGCGATAGCTGGAATTCGTTCTCGCAGTCCTATCGTCAGCAGCATTAGAGACATTCTAATCCATATGCCTGCTTCGCAAAGACCCTTACTCATCTGGGTGCCCGCTCATACGGGAATAGAAGGAAATAAGAGAACAGATGTTGTCGCAAAGGTAGAAGCGGATTCATCCACTTTGCGAGAAGTCCCGACCCTTAGGCCAGTCTCGGACCTAAAGAGTCGGACATTTTATCATCTCCTTAGCATATGGCAAGAACGTTGGGATCAAGCCTCCACAGGGAGACGTGTTTACAATCTCATTCCCAAGGTCAAGACAACAATCCAAACTAACAGCAATTACATGACGTATTTCCTCACGGTCATGGGCCCTTTCCTTCATACCCTCTGCCGCTTGTCTTGAGGGGAATGGTAACTGTGAATGTGGGGAGGAGGGTTATCCAGATCATTTTGTGTTCTTCTGCCCACACACAGCACTTAACAGCCTCAAGCAACCAGTAGTCAGATTCTGGCCAAATTGGTTCCAGAATCTACAAAGTAACAGAGTTGACCAGCGGAAACTGAAAACAATAATTAACTACTGTACTAACAATTACTCTTTTGACATTGGAAGATAGTGGTCATAAAAATCTATATAAGCTAGTTCAATATGTCAGCAACAGAGTATGTGATATGTATGTTCAATATGTAATTTTGCATTTATTCTGTGCCAGGTTCTCATACATACAGTTCGTAGTGTATCTGAATGCTGTACCTGTATACATGTGTATATCTTTTATTTATGGTACCTAATTTATACTAAGGATCGCGCAATGGCATGCTTCTTGTAAACTTTAACTATCATGATAACGTATATGTATGAGTGTATATATCAATATGAGTGAGAGTATGTATACTTTTATTTGTTTCGGAATATCTATGTATGTAAGTGTGTATATATCTGTATATGAGTTTGTATTAATATGTACCGGGTGGCCATAATTAAACTGACAGTGCTCACAGTGTTCTGTAGCGTGATCTATTTGCGAGAATGACGCCACGTTTTGTAGGAAGATTAAACAAGACGGGGGACTAAGGATTCCGCGAAAAAAAAATTAATTCCAAAAGTCACCGCTGGGGGAATATTTGGCACTGTGTCATAGAAAATAGAGTGTTAACAAATGCAAATTAATGCGGAATAAAATTTATCGTATGTCCATTCTTCTATGAGAACATTACCCCGACAGGACCGGAAACCTGTTCTGTTACCGGAGAGAAATATCGCCACATGTTAAACAGCTTTGTTATTCCGGCACTTCAGCAAAGACAATGCCTGGGGGAAATCATTTTAATGCAAGATGGAGTCCCTCCACACGTTGCTGTACGGGTGAAACAGATGCTACGACATAAATTCAAAACAGAAAGAGACATTAGCCGCTACTTTGCAACTACATGACCACCTCAGTCGCCTGATCTTGCCCCATGCGACTTCTGGCTATGGGGTGACCTTAAGTCTATCAAGGTCTATCAAGAAGTGGTCCAGGACCAGACTACGTTGAAGGATAACATATAACGGACTGTACGGGAGATTCCTACGGACATGTTACTTTCTGCTGTTGTGCATACTGTGCACAGAATGCAATATGTGGTCCACAATAACGGCAGCCACATTGAACCTCATTTGAATGCAAAGTAAAAGGTAATTTCTGCATTTATTTGCATTTGTTAACACTCTATTTTCTATAACACAGCGCTAAATATTCCCCTAGCGGTGACTTTTGGAACTATTTTTTTTCGCGGAATCCTTCGTCCCCCGTCTTGTTTAATCTTCCTACAAAATATGGCGTCATTCTCGCAAATAGATCGCGCTACAGAACACTGTGAGCACTGTCAGTTTAATTATTGGCCACCCGTTATATACATATATTTTGATTGTACTCTTCTTCAAGTGCCTTGTATGCACATGTATATATTTCTTTGTACATTGTTGTACTCTTCTTCAAGTGCCTTGTATGCCTACGTATATCGTTTTTGTTTTTGCATTTTATAAATATCGTCTGCTCAGCCGGAGCTGCCCAGGGCTGCGGCCTGGTAGCTAGTGGTTGACTCCCGCCGAGTTGGTAACCAATTCTGCATGGATATATCTATACCTGGGTCGGAAGCCAACTCAGCGGTTTACCTCCCCTAACCACTGTACCGTCTGGGAGACATACAGAAATATTATAAAGCCTGTATAGAATAGCATTCTATAGAAATCTGTAAAGCTTTTAAACTGCAATGAAAGCAAATTTTCAGTTCCTGAAGAGCTAATAGGATACAGAAAAACCAAAAATGAACAGTAATTATTTATAAGTTTTAAAACATTTTAAAATGAAAATTTTTGCATTTTCAGCTGTATTTTAATATTTTTTGGCTTTAAATTTATGTAAGATTTTGAGCAATTTTTTTATACATCATTGTTCATATAATACAAAAATTAAACTTATAAAAACGTAAAATAAATGTAAATCACAAAATTAATTAAATTCTTAAATTTATGCTGTAAATTAAAAATTTAATTCCTGAAATAAATGCTTTCAATAATTGCATATTTATTGCTGTTAAGAGAATGCTTTTTAATCTAATTTAACTAGAGTATTTAAAATACATTTACTTTTATCTAAATATTTTTTAGATCAAATGATCTTGAAATGCTTTATTAAAAAAGTTGCATCTATTCCGGAAGTTTTTACTCTCTTCCTTCCATCATGTCAAATCCTTTCAAAGTTTAACCAAGGTTAAAAATTTATATTGAAAAATGAAATTTTAGTTCCTTCCTTTCAATTTCCAAAGTAAATTATGTTGATTTTATAATGCTCTTAAATGCCCAAAAAGCTTTTATAAGATCTTCCATCGAAAATTACAGCTAGAAGACTACTTAGAATTTTGATAGCTTCGGCTATATCTCTTTGGTTAAGCATTAGTGAAGTCTTATTTCTGATTACTTTGAGTTCAAGCCCAAGTGGAGGCTTTGCTGTACGCCCTGAGAAAGGGGCCATCTGTTAATTCTTATTTTGAGCATTAAAGAGTAGTTAACCCTTCCCGAGTTTGCGTCTCTGTTCCTGAACTTAAGCGATTACTTGTTTAGCTGTTCACTAGGTTCCTCAACATTTAGAAATTCTGTACAAATTTTTATAAACTCTCTGCGAAATTCTCTACAATATATCTACACATATCTCCTTTGAATTTCTATGCATAACTGTGCAAAAAAATACGCCTAAAATATAATAGAATTATTTTGTGGATCTTTGGTTTAGTTTGTACGAAATTAGACAAAAAATTCCAAAGTATTTTAAAGAAGTTTAATTATAATTAAGTTAATAATATTTTATTTTTTTAAAAAAAAAAAATTCTGTAAGACATTTTCTTAAGGGATACTTTTGTAAAGCTGTGTTGCAGTTTAAGAGATTCATTTATCCTAAGAGTTAGGGTTATTTAGATTATGCCAAAGCACATCCGTCCTTGGGAAGGACGGCCTTCTTCGAGTTACTGTTGAATAGTGGAAATTCGACATGGGTTTGAACTCCAGCGAACGGGCTGTCTGAGTGGACAGTTTCATGATTTTCCCATGTGCAACATGTATGCGAGCCAGTTTACCTTAGAAAAGTCCTCCCGGAAGGCATCCCTTCCTTTAGGCAGGTAGTCGAGTGCTTTGCCGAACCAAGGCGAAACAAACCCCCGCTAAAAACTAAAATCTAAGAGACGCAACAACCCTAATGGGCCAAGGCCAACAGTGTCCCGAAATCTGCTTTCTTCACCGTGGGCCCCGGGCTGCGTAAGCATATGCCCTGAACCAGTGGTATCAGCTTGTCGCAGGATCCCTGTGTTTAGTCCCCAAGCGAACTTGGTACTCATTTTATCGACCCAAGGGATTGAAATCAAGAGATGAAAGGCTGAGTCGACCTTCCCCAGCCCGGGGATTGAACCCCGAACCTGTGGTACTGCTGCGCGATGCGCTAGCCATTGCGCCACAGGGCTTCACAAACCCCCGCTGGTA